CTCTTCACCTCCTCTTCAGTTAGTTTAGTTTTGTACAGACCTGGAGTATCAACTACAGCCACTGTTTTACCTTCAAACTGACCTGTTTCCTTCTGACACTCTGATGTTACAGAGGAAGAGGAGGATGTTGATCTAAATACTTTTCTCCGTAAGATGCCGTTTCCTGCTGCACTCTTCCCAACTCTGGTTTTCCCAACAAGAACAATCCTGAGGTCGGCTTCTGGTTTATTTATGACTCTCTGAGCTTCTCTGAACATTTCATTGGTGTAGTATCCTCCTCCATTTCGTTCAGTCATTGTGTTGATCTTCTTCAGCAGCTTTCTGACCTGAGAAGGATTTTTGACTGTATTGTTAAAGACATGATATCCTCCACCGCACTGACTGATGAAATCAGAGATAATTGGATTGTCATTGATCATTTTTTCTATTGTGACTCCATCTGCCTCAAGATCATCTCCGTGGGTGAACAAGGCCATAGTGTAACATGCTGACTGCTCTCCAAACATATTCTGAATGATGATAACGGTTTCTTGATCTTCTTCTGTGAATCTGTTGGCTTGAATCACAACCAGGAACACATGAGGACCAGGAGCAGTAAAGGGGATGGATCTACTGATCTCTTCCTTCACCTCCTCTTCAGTTTTTTTGGTGTCAAATAAACCTGGAGTATCAACTACATCCAGTTTTTGACCTTCAAACAGACCTGTTTCCTTCTGACACTGTGGTGTTAGAAAGGAAGATGTTGATCTAAATACTTTTCCCAGTAAGATGCTGTTTCCTGCTGCACTCTTTCCAACTCTGGTTTTCCCAACAAGAACAATCCTGAGGTCGGCTTCTGGTTTGTTCATGGCTCTCTGAGCTTCTCTGAACATTTCATTGGTGTAGTATCCTCCTCCATTTCTCGCAATCATTGTGTTGATCTTCTCCAGCAGCTCTCTGACCTGAGAGGGATCCTTGTCTCTGTTGTTAAATACATGATATCCTCCACCGCACTGACTGATGAAGTCAGTGATAATTGGATTATTATTGATCATGTTTTCTATGGTGACTCCGTCTGCCTCAAGATTGTCCCCACAGGTGAACAAGGCCATAGTGTAACATGCTGACTGTTCTCCAAACATGTTCTGGATGATGTTGACAGTTTTTTGTTCTTCTTCTGTGAGTCTGTTGGCCTGAATCACAACCAGGAACACATGAGGACCAGGAGCAGCAAGGTTGATGCAGCGACTGATCTCTCTCTTCACCTGCTCTTCAGTTTTTCTGTTGTCAAATAAACCTGGAGTATCAACTACAGCCAGTTTTTGACCATCAAACAGACCTGTTTTCTTCTGACACTCTGATGTTACTGTGGAAAAACCTGCTGCGGCTTTAAAAGCTTTTTCTCCTAAGATGGTGTTTCCTGATGCACTCTTCCCAACTCCAGTTTTCCCAATAAGAACAATCCGAAGGTCAGCCTCTCTGAACATTTCAACTGTGAAGTATCTTCCTGCATTTCTCTGAACCATGGTGTTGACTTTCTCCAGCAGCTCTCTGACCTGAGAGGGATCCGTGTCTCTGTTGTTAAAGAGGTGATATCCTCCACCACACTGACTGATGAAGTCACTGAGAGCTGGATTTTTACTGATTAATTCTTCTATGGTGTTTCCATCTGACTTCAGGTCATCTCCATGGGTGAACAAGACTAATGTGGAACATGCTGACCTTTTTCCAAACATCTTCTGAGCAATTTTCACTGTTTCTTGATCTTCTTCTGTGAATCTGTTTGCCTGAATCACAACCAGGAACACATTAGGACCAGGAGCAGCAAAGCAGATGGCTCTCTCCATCTCTGCTGTCAACTCCTCTTCAGTTCTACTGGAGTCACACAGACCTGGAGTATCAACTATAGCCAGTTTTTGACCTTCAAACTCTCCCGTTTCCTTCTGACACTCTGATGATGTCAATACAAAAGCATTCCCTTTTCCTAGGATGGTGTTTCCTGAAGCACTCTTTCCAACTCCAGTTTTTCCAAGAAGCAAAATCCTGAG